TCTTAATAAATTCTCCTTTGCATTATTGCTGGAAGGCGTTTCCTCCTTGTGCGTATGAGGCACGGCGGTGAAGAGCCATAATTGTGGCGTGAGCCAGCCCAGCCCCTGTACGAATCAGGGTATAATTTCGAGAAAAGAAAGCACTGCTGCTGATGCCTCCCCAGCGGGTAGAAGGCAGGAATTAAATCTGAAAATCAGACATAAAGCACAGAGCAAGGACCTGACAGGTAGATGGAGGCATGATGCACGAGCAGGAGCGTAAACTCTCAAAGCCTGGCTTTGAATCCCAGCCCTAGGTGCCTCAGTTTCCCCACCTGCAAGAGGAGGACACTGAGTGTACCGACTTCCTACAGTTCTGGGATTAAATGACTTAATATTTGTAAAGGGCTTAAAATAAAGCCTGGTATATTAGTTAATGTTGTATACATGTTTCAAATGTCAAATAGTTGGAACTTGGGGTATAGCTTAGTGGAAGAACACTTACATAGCATGTGAGTCCCTGATTTGATTTCTTTTTTTTTTTTTCCTGGTGCTGGGAATCGAACTCACGACCTTCCGCTTGCCAGGCAGGCGCTGTGCTGCTGAGCTAAATCCCCAGCCCCTCACCCCCTGATTTGATTTCTAGCACCACTAAATAAATTATTTGCTGGATATAGTGGCGCCCAGCCACTTGGGAGACTGAGGTTGGAGGATCACAAGTTCAAGCCCAGCCTGAACAATTAAGGAGAATTCCATCTCAAAATAAAAAGTAAAAATAAATAATTATGGAAATGTTCAGTGTTAGAGGACCCCTGGGTTCGAATCCCAGTACTGCAATAAATAAATGAACAAATAGTAGTAAAACTGTTAGCAAAGTGTGGTTGAAACTATTAGTTGATTGAAGCTGTCATTTTTTTTTTTTTTTTTTTTTATGATGGTGGTGGTGATGATGATGATACTGTGATGGAAATACTTTCCCACTTAGAGATGGCCGGTGGGGTCCTAGCTCTTTACTGGGATTTGGTTTCTAGATCCAAGTGATTAAATAACGAGTTGAGGAAAGATGGTTCACGCTGGATTAAAGAATTCTTAGTCACTTGCTGGCTTTCTTTTTATTAACTTCTTATGATGCAAATGTTCAAACCTACCCAACCCCCACATACCGGTGTCGGGTTTCAGTGCTCGTGTCCCCTCGCCCCAGCTTGCTGCTGTTTTTGCTGCTGTTTGCCGCGAGCCAGTGGCTGAAAGCCAGTGACTGGCCAGTTTGGAGAAAGCTTCCCAGAACCTTCCTGGAACTGGAGAGCCCCTCAGACTTCGCTGTAATTTGTGATTTATCAGCCTAGAGGATCCGGTTTTACAGAAAGCTAATGAGTCTTAATAAGCACCTGGAAATTCAGGTTGGAGCTGTCTGTCACACTTAACTGTGTCACTTCTCTAAGAGTAAGGCTTAGCCGCCATGAAGATGAGATGCCCCAAGCAGGTTAAGTGCCTGGCTTCAAGTTATTTGCAAAACCATTTTCATTTTTTCAAGCCGCCACCCTTGGCAAGTTTCATCTTGCTTGTCTCAACTTTCACTGCCCAGATTTTGGCTGGCGGGGGAAAGGAATCCAGGGAAGCTCTTGGTCCCTGCTTCCATGATAGCCCCCCAAACACAGCCCAGACCCCCACTACTTATGCTTGGGGGCAGGGTAGGGATCTTTGGAAAGCACCTTGTTTTGCTAATTTGAAAAGAAATTCCTATTTTAGATTTGAAGGGTGGTATCAGCTCATCCTTTAAGGACTTGGAATTTCTTCTTGTTTCTGTTGTCACTTTATGGCTCGTGTGTTCACTAAGCAAATCCTCGTCTTTCTGTCTGGTCTCCCGAAAAGCATGAAAATAACAATCATCTCCTTCACTTGCATCGCTCTGCAGCTTACAAAATGTGATCACTCTGGCTGTGTTGACTGATATTCAGCAAACCCTGAAGAGAGACATAGGCTTACTAGTGGTGGTTTCATTCACGTTACAGTAGAGCAAACTGGGACCCAGAGAGAGGTTAAGCTGTTGCTTAAGGACACCCAGCAAGAAGGCATCAGAATCTGGGTTTATAATCCAGTGGAAGAATGAGACCAGCCTGTTTTTAAAAAATCATTTCTTTCCATCATTTACTACAGCTGCCCCTGCTCATCCTACTCCTCTCCCTTCAAGTTTGGGCAATGAGCTGCAGGCCTAGCCCAAAGGGCCAGGGTAGGGTGGAGACGAGGCCATGGTGTTTGTTATGGACTAGATAGGAGGACCAGACTAGGGATTATGTGAAATACTTGTCCTCTTCCTGTAAATTAACCTGAGTGTGGTCACTCAGTTTATTTGCCAGATAGCAGACTCTCAGCTATTGCACGGGGGTGACCTCAGTATCATCCTTGGGCTCCTAACTTGGAGGAAGAATCCTCCTTTAAAACTTGCCCAGGGTCACTGGGCACATGCCTACGATCCCAGCACTCAGGAAGCCAAGGAAGTAGATTGGTGAGGCAGGAGAATCACAGGGAGTTCAAATCCACCTGTAGTCCGGTTCAGCCTGGACTATACAGGGAGACCCTGTCTCAAAATAAACAAACCAAATAGCCTAGGGTTGGGGCTGGGGGCTGTAGCTCAATGATAGCCTGTTTGCTAAGTACACAGGAGGCCCTGGGTTCCACCCCCGAATGAGAATGGAAGAAGGGGGAAAAACGGGGAAAAACACTCAGAGCTTAATAACTAGGGTCTCTCCAGATATAGGTAGAACCAACAATGTAAGTAAGCAGCAGTTTATGTTAGGGACGCTTTTGTACTTCTAGACAATAGTAAATTTTGTGGAGACACAAGACAGAGGGACCTGGGCTGGGGGCAGTTAATTCTAGGGCAGTCACTAGGAGATAATGGAGGGGTGTAGCTGGTGGAGGAGGAGGGTTGTTTTAAACAAGTTTATACAGATCCATGCAGCATCAATTCCCAGTCACTGGTGACAATGGCTGTCTTTCTGTGCTGCTACCAGGATGTCGGCTTTCTCCCAGGAGAGTTTATGGTTGGCAATATGTAAGAAAGCACAGTTTAGATAGAATGGCTCAGCCGAGCTTGGTGGCGCACGCCTGTAATCCCAGCACTCAGGAGGCTGAGGCAGGGCGATCCTTGTGAGTTCGAGATCAGCCTGGGCTACAAAGTGAGCTCAAGGCCAGCCTGAACTGCATACTGAGACCCTGTCTCAGAAAAAAAAAAAAAAAAAAGACTGGCTCACAAATATTTAGTCAGAGTTATATTTGGGGGTGATATTCTGGTATCCACCAAGGGCTAGTCACAGATATGTGGTTTATTAGTTATCAGATGTCAGGTAAATTTCTTAACCTTTCTGATCCTCGGTTTCATTTTCAAAATGGGAATGATCATAGTATTCACCCACGGTCTTTAAACTGTGCTGTGTAGGGCTTTAGGTGTCAGATGTGTTTGTAAGGGTGGCCTCTGGTGGAAGAAATGAAAACTGCAGCCTGGGAGTCAAGCGCAGCTCAGGGGCTTTCTGGGAGAAACATGACCTTCCTGAGTACGAGGAGTCTAGCCTTGTAAAATAAGGACAACAGCAGGAATTTTTATAAAGTAACAATTCTAAGCCACAGAAATGCCATTGGATGAATCAGTGGCAATTTTTTTTTTTTAAGACAGGCTCTCAGTATCGAGTGGCAGTGATTTTAAAGGAAGGAAAACAGGCTAACTTCCGAATTTTCCTAGAATGAACTATCTTGTCAACTGTTCCCCTCTGCCTGGAAGGCACTTTGTTATATTTTTGTCTTTTTTATTAATTGACTGATTAAGTGATTGAGGTACCATGTTGCTCAAGTGGACCCTAAATTCCTGGGGTGAAGCAACCCTCCTGCCTCATCCTATAGGTTCACACAACCAGACTGGGCTAGGAAGGCTCTTGAGTCAAGTTTCACGCAACATGGCTCCTTTGAGTCTGAACTCAAGTGCCTCTCCCTCAGACAGACCTCCCCACACACACTCGCCACATAATATAAATTAACCCCCAAACTGCCCTCTCAACATGTAATCACCTAGCAGGTAATCAGCACTCAATAAATACTGAATGTTAATCACTGTCTTTTGTGTAATGCTCATGGGGGCTGTGTCAATGATTAGCCAAAGCTACATTTTTTTATATTATTATTATTTGTTTTGTTTTGGTCTTTTTGAGACAGGGTCTTGCCATGCAGTTTAAGCTTGCCTTGAGCTCACTTTGTAGCCTAGGCTAGTCTCAAACTTGCAACAATCCTCCTGCTTCAGCCTCCCAAGTGCTGGGATTGCAGGTGTGCGCCACCACACCCGGCTACATTTATTTTTTAACTTTTTAGAATTTTATTTACCGAGCTTTACTATAGTGTTTGTGTGCCAAGCACTATTCTGTCGGTGCTAAAACAACCCTATTAGGTAGTTACTATTGTTACCCTCATTCTACAGATGAGAGATTGAGGCACAGAAAGGTTAAATAACTTCTCAAAGGTCACAGAGCTAATATAAGTAGTAGAGCTGGGATTGAACCTTGGGTTTCATGAACCATTATGCCATGCTATCTTTCTCTTAGTATCTGCCACTGATTGCTTAAACACATACTGTTTATTTAAATGTAGACCATTACATCTCACTGTACATTGACCTCTATCATTTGAACTCAGTAGGTGTCTGTACACTGTCTGGATTATGTTATATTCAGTTTTCATATTGGCAAGAGTAGTCTGAAGCAAGGGTCCCTTTTTTGTTGTTCCTGTTAAAGAAAATGTACTTTCTAGACATTATTTTCACTGCACAACTAGATTTTTGAAAAGATCAAAATAATTGTGAAGAATGTTAATATTGATTCCAGGCATAGCTTTGTTCTGTCACCAGATAATGGTTTGTTTTTCTTGTGCTTGATTTGCATGAGTTGGGCTTTTGTGGGTGAACTAAGTTTGCTTTTTGAAGAAGAGTGCTCTTGTCTTACATCGGCTTCATTTGCTAATCACTGCTTTCTGCCTTGCAGTGAGTTTTGAGGGATGCACAGGTCGACCACGAACAGTCTACTATTCTACTGACTCCCGATTCAAAGTGGGTACAGATGGTGTCGTTGCAGTCAAACGGCCTCTACAGTTGCATAAACCAGAGACCAGTTTTTCTGTCCATGCCTGGGACTCCACCTTCAGAAAGTTTTCCACCAAAGTTACCCTGAAGGCAGAGGGACCCCGTCATCAGCACCACAACCGTCACCAGCGCCGAGACAGCCTCCACCACCAGGACCATGACCAGGTATGTCATTCGCCATGGTTTCAGACTGTAGCTGACCCACTGACAGTTTTGCAGGAGGCTGTACCGTGCACTGTTTATAGACAGCTGAGCGGCATCCCTGGCTTTAACTCAGTAGACACCAGGAACAGCTCTAGAGTTGTGACAACCAAAAGAACCTCCCGATACTGACAGTGCTGCCTGGGCGAGTTGCAAAATCATCCCTAGGAGAGAACTGTTAGAGTAACTGAACTATCTCTTGTTGGCCTTGGGAGTGGTTGTTTTTGTTTGTTTGGCTTTGGTACTGGGAATTGAACTCAGGACTTTGTACTTGCCAGGCAGGTGCTGTGCCACTGAACTATATCCCGGGCCCTAGGGGTGGTTGTTGAGAGTAGGGAACAGTAGTTATAGCACAGCGGGAAAAGGCATGGCCGCTGTCTGGGATTGAATCAGCCTCCTATTGACCACCTGAGTAACCCTAGAGGAGTTACTTCACCTGTCTAAGCCCGAATTTCCTTTTCTATAAAGTGGAGGTAATGGCAAGGACTGAATAAATGAATGCATGTGAAATGCTAAGAATATGCTAGGTATATACAGTTGGTATCCATGGCAGACCAGTTCCAGAACACTCCCTCACCCTTTGTAGATACCAAACTCTGGATGCTTACGTCTCTTATGTGAAATGACATAGGATTTGCATATAGCCTACGCACATCTTCTTGGGTTCTTAAATCCTCTCTAGAAGGCTGACAAAGTAGCTCTGTGGTAGGGCATTTGCCTAGCATTCCTGAGGCCCTGGGTTCTATCCACTAAGTTACTTAAAACGCTAATATGATGTAAATGCTATGTAAATCATGATTATACTATATTGTTTAGGGAATAAAGACAAGGAAAAAAATGTACACATTCAGTACCATTATAGTTTAGTTCTAGAATGTTCCCTCATATTTTCATGTGCTCGAAGGTGTGGCTTTTGGGAGGTGACTGGAGCAAGAGGTCACCATACTCATCAGTGGGTTTGTCCACCAGTAAGTTCAGTGGCTGAGTGTGCTGCCTGAGGGTGCAGGAGAGAGGGGGATCACTGGCAGCACTACCTGGAGGGGCGCATTTCCTTCCCTGGCTCCTCCCTCTCTCTCTGCTTCCTGGCCACCATGATATAAGCAACGTTCCTCTGCTATGCCCCTCTGCTGTGCCATTTCTTCTTGGAAGGAGCCTACCATGACTGTAACTGTGAGCTAAAATAAACCACTCTTACTTTGTGGGTGTCAAACATTTTGTCCCAGTGATGAGGAAAGTGACTAAGATGAGTACAGACACAATAAAAACTACTTCAACTCCAAGGTTGGTTGAATCCCCGGATGTGAAACCTACAGATGGGGTGGGCCAGACATAATCAGTGCTCACTAATTGTTAGCTGTTGTCAGTCCTGTCTCTCCCGGAGGCAGAATGAATGAGATGGGAACTTTCTGATTGTTTTGCTCTTTGTGTTTGGGGAAGGGGCTCTTGGCAAAGAAGGGGAAGGATGGGTGGGACTCCTCTCTCCTGGAGGACTGTCAGTGGTGCACAACCTCTCCCACTGTGTTTGAAGAGCCTGGCCATTAGGTCTGCAACCTGCCAGGAGCCCAGTAGACGTTGAACAGGCAGTGGATGGATGGATGTGTGCCTAGGTTCTTGGCAAGAATGTTTCTGGAAGTTGTTACCAAAGCCAAATGCCTTTGCAAGTTGCCACACTTGCCATAGTGCTCCTCACTAAAATGTCTCGGGGCAGCAGGTGAGGCAGGTGCAGTGGAGTAGTGAGGATTTCTACTTGTACCTTGTATACTCCCTTGGAAGTATAGATCGTGCCCTAAATGCCAAAGCTTCTGCAGTGGGCTTCTGTTTCTCTCTCTCAGGATTTTTTTGAGATTCTTGGAACTTAATAGTCCTCCTGACACATCTGAGTTTCTCCCTGGTGTAATTAGATCAGAAAAATGAGGAACTCAGGGGAACTGTATTAGTGTGACCCTCAGACTCACAGCTCCAATTGGCCTGTCATTCCTGTGAGATCAGCACAGGGAGTTCTGCTAAGCAGCTGCCTGTCAAAATCTCTCTGACCAAGAGACAGTTTTGAATTTGATTCTTCTCTAGCTTTGCCTTCCCGCCTCTGCTGATTTTGCCTCTACTTTCATGTCTGCTGTATCCAAATTTGGTTCAAGTGTATTACATAAGACTCCAAGTTATAGTGGCTTATGCAAAATATTTTTCTCTTAAGGAAGTCCAAAAGTGAGTTGTGTCCCACATGGATACTCTACAGCGGTGGTGGAGAACCTATGGCGTGGGTGCTGTAGCTGGCATGCAGAACCCTCT